TTAATGAGTCTTCCTTCAATCCTGACGCCATGTATTTCTTCATATAACCCAGATTCTTAGATGATTTACTCAGTATACAGGTTGAATAAGTGTGGTGAAAGAATACAACCTTGTCACACACCTTTCTTAATTTTAAAACAGTGTTCCCATGTGCTGTTTGAACAACTGCCTCTTGGTCCAGGTACAGATTCCTCATGAGCACAATTAAGTGTTCCAGAATTCTCATACTTCCCAATGTTGTCCATAGCTTGTCAAGATCCATACAATTGAAAGCCTTTGCAAAGTCAATAAAGCACAGGTAAACATCTTTGAGATAATCTCTCAAGAAATCTCTCTGCTTTCAGCCAAGATCCCTCTGACATCAGCAATGATATCTCTCTTTCCACGGCCTCTTCTGAATTGGCTTGAACCTCTTTGGAAGTTCTCTTTCAATGTATGCTTGTAGCCATTTCTGTATTACCTTTAGTAAAACTTTACTCACATGGGATATCAAAGAGATTATCCGATGATTTCCACATTCCATTGGGTCACCTCTCTTTGGAATGGACACAAATATGGATCTCTTCCAATCAGTCGGCCAGATAGTTGCCTTTCAAATTTCTTGGCATAGATGAGTGAGTGTGTCCTGTGCCACCTCACTTTCTTGAAAGAGTTCAATTTTTATTCCATCAACTATTGGTGCCTTGTTCTTTCAAGTCCTTCAATGCACCTTAGACTTCTTTCTTCAGTATCATTGGCTCTTGATCATATGCTACCTCTTGAAATGATTGAACATCAACTATTTCCTTTTGGTATAGTGACTCTGTGTAGTCCTTACATCTTCTTTTGATGCTTTCTGCATCATTCAATTATTTGCCCAGAGAATCCTTCAATAACGAAATTTGAGGCTTGAATTTTTCTTCAGTTCCTCCAGCTTGAGAAATGCTGACTGTGTTTTTCTCTTTTGGGTTCCTGACTCCAGATCTTTACACATTTCGTAAATATTTGACTTTGTCTTCTCAAGCTGACCTTTGAAATTTTCTGTTCAGTTCTTGTCCCTCCTGATTTCTTCCATTTTCTTTAGCATCTCTACTCTGGAGAGCAAGTTTCAGTGTCTCTTCTGATATCCATTTTGATTATTTCCTTCGTTCTTGTCTTCTTACTGACTTTTTGCTTTCTTTATGTATTATGTTATTGATGTCATCCCACAGCTCCTCTGGTCTTCGGTCTTTAGTGTTTAATGTATCAAATCTGTTCTTCATATTATCCCTAAATTCAGATTGGATATATTCCAAGGTCATATTTTGGCTCTCATGGACTTGTTTTCATTTTCTTCAGCTTCAGTTTGAATTTGCATATGAGCAATTGATGGTCTGTTCCACAATCTACCTCTGGCCTTGTTGTGACTGATGATGTGGAGGATTTCCACAGATGTAGTCAATTTGATTTCTGTGTATTCCATCTGGTGAGGTCAACATGTATCTCTTATGCTGTCTAAAGACGGTATTTGAAATGAACAAATCCTTGATTTTGCAGAATTCTATAATGTGTTCTCCAGCATCATTTCTACCAACAAGGCCGTATTTTCCGACTACTCATCCTTCTTCTTTGTTTCCAATCTTTGCATTCCAATCACCAGTAATGATCAATACCATGTTTGATCAAATTCAGATTGAGAAAGTTGGTAGAATTCTTCTATTTCATCCTCACTGGCTTATTGGTTGGTACATAAATTTAAATAATAGTGGAATTAACTAGTCTTCCTTGTAAGCACATAGATATTATCCTATCACAGACAGCGTTGTGCCTCACGACTGATCTGAATATGTTCTATTTGACAATGAATGCAACACTATTCCTCTTCAGTGCTATCATACAGTACTACCTTAGTAATTAGTAATTTATTTCATCTTGATTCACCCTGATTTTAAAAGTCTTATAATTCATTCTTTTTGACATCCTTGTTATTTTTTTAAAATTATTTAAAGCACCTCAATTACATTTTATATTAATAACTTCAAAAACAGTAATCACTATAGATTAGAAAGTGACATCTCCACAAATAAAAATGAGTAAAACAGCTAGTGGATCAGTGGTGTGGTACTGAAGGACCAGCATTAGACTTTGAACCACAAGGTAGGCAGTTCAAACCCACCAGCGACTCTTTGGAAACTCTATATAGAGTCACTTTTTGTCAGAACTGACGTGACGGCACTTAACAACAACAAAGTAACTTCTATTAACTATCACTGGATAGTGAAGTAAAACACAATCATATGAACAAAATGTATCTCACAGTGTTTTCACAAAATCATCTCCAATAGCAGAATACAATAAACTTGCTCCTTCAGGGCTTAAGTACAATTTCCTCATTTCAACTATTTATGTAAATATTACATTCTAATCCTTAATATTATTGTGGGTTTGATTTAATATGTATTCTCTAAATTATTTTTCATTAAAAAATTGATATTCCATGAATATTAAATCAAGTAGCTATTAATATACACCCACACTCCATTCCCTATACCAATGGCAGAAGCTATCCTGCAGGCTTCTGTCAGGAAACGGTTTTATCAGATTAAGTTCATGGGGCAGTGCCATCTACATCTATCTTTACTGTCTCACACATTGATCATGAGATTCTTGTAAACAGGCATTTTTTTTCTTAGATTCTTTGCCATCTCATCTGTGAACCTTGCACTTAGTATATTCCTAATAAATATATCAAGTTAATCAATTTAGAATTTCAAAATTGGGAAGTACTTTTGTGGTGACCTAGGACAGAAATTGCAAATCCTGAAGTAGTCATAAAATGGCTAGTGGAGATGGTTGTACTTGAGAAGAGTTTTACGTTATAGGGGTGTCAAGGGGCCCTTGGGTGGTACAAATGGATAACACACTTGGCTGCTGATCTAAAGGTCAAATGTTCCAGTCCTTCCAGAAATGGCTCATAAGACAGGTCTGAGAATTTGAAATATGTCACTGAAAACTCTAGCAGGCACCATTTTACTCTGACATCCATAGGGTCACCGTGAGTAGACTAGATGACAACTAATAACTGGTAAGGGTATGAAACATAATCTAAGCAATGAACATGAACAGATGAAAAAAAAAAACAGAATTATAATTGACTAATTGAAATGAGAAAATCTCCTCCAAAATACTATACTATAAAACCACATACCTGCTGAGTTTGTATTGTCCTGGTATTTACTGGGTGGAATATGTGTACAATTGCAATATTTGCTTCCATTCTCAATGCCAAACACCTTCTCACTATTGTTATCACTGAGGGGATGTCTGCTCAGATGGCTGACTGAGAAGAAATGAAAAAAGTAGTAACACAAATTATGTTGCTACCAATATAGGTCTGTGCCTTTAAAACTATTTCTTATTGTTGTCAAGTGTCATTGAGTCGATTACAAGTTGTAGTGACCCTGTATAGGGTTTCCAAGGAAGGGCTGGTGGGTTTGAATCACTGACAGTGTGGTTAGCAACCCAGGGCTTATTCTACAGATTTAGCAATTCATTAAAATGAAAACAGAAGAAGCATTATACAAATGCGTACGCAGCATTTTGCCACTTTAATTTGACAAAAGATAAATATGTTCAGAGACTCAGGAGATTTATCAAAAACTAAAAGTAAGTTGAAATAAAAACAAAATACATAAATACAATAAAAATATATTTTAATTTTCATGTATTTCATCAAATAAGTTAAAATTCAGAGATCCTAACTATAGGCTTTCTGTTTCTCAGTTCCCACGTATATAAAAGGGAACAATGACTAGCAAATGTATTGCTAGGCTTGCTGCAAGATTGAACTACATTTAAAGTGTTCATCTTAATTCCCAACATAATTAACATAAGGAAAAAATAACAAACATAATTGTTCATAAGGCGCGACGGGATAAAGCACTGGACTGCAAAGTTGGTTTGAATCATAAAGTTGTTGGTTCAAAGTCCCCAGTCACTCCTGGGAAACTCTATACAGAGTCTCTATGAATTGGAACTGACTTGACAGCCCTTAACAACATTGCATTTAATTTGTATTGATGTGTTCAAGAAGCTGATACATTTTGTCAAAACTTCCAAATGCCAACAACCAGGTCACTTTTAATGATCAAAAATGTTGCTTAAAGAATTGAAACAGCTTCCTTAAAACCAAATGCTTTCACAAAACTATGCAACTTTAGGTTATAAAGTTGTGACTAACAAACCCATACTATTTACCAATTAGTTAAAATCATGCATAGAATTGTTGTTAAGTGCTATCAAGTCATCAAGTCAGAGGCTGTAAATCTTTTCATCTTGTTGTTAGGTGCCATTGCCATTGGCACTGACTCAAATCGACCCTATCCACAACAGAAGGAAACATTGCCTCATCCTGAGCCTACCTTACAATCACTGCTATGCCTAAATCCATTGCTACTGTCACTGTGCCAATCTATCTCTGGTCCCTCCTGATAATATGTCCAAAGTATGAGAGACGAAGTCTGGCTATCCTGGCTTCCAAGCAGCACTCTGGCTGTGCTTCTTCCAACACAAATTGGTTTGTTCTTCTGGCAGTCTATGTAGAAAGCCTCATCTTTCTCTCACAGAGCCGCTGACCTTAAGGTTTTCGACCCAGTTCATAATCCATTATACTACCACAGCTCCTCCCACACCAGAATGTTTGTTGTTGTTGTTGTTAAGTGCAATAGAGTCAGTTCTGACCCTCTGTAGGGTTTCTAGAAGCAGTTGGCAGGTTTTAACTGCTGATCTGTGGTTCTCAATCCAGTGCTGATCCTGTCCCATTGAGTCAGTTCTGACCTATAGAGACCCTCAATAGGGTTTCGGAGGAGTGACTGGTGAGCTTGAATCTTGAATCGCTGACTTTGTGGCTCAAACCGACCTTGCAGTCCAATGCATTAACCAGGACTCCAGGGTTGATCCCACAGCTCCATAAATTAACATCTTTGTTACCTTTTGTGCACAAGGGAAAACAACTAGCTGCTAATGTAATCATTAAGGGTTTAATGTTTACAATTAAAATACTAATGAAAAAGAATATCAGGTAAGAATGAAAAAAGAATTTGAAATAAAGATTAAACTCCAAAGAAAACATGTTAATCTCTATATATGAACATGAAGCTTTCAGTTTACTCACTCCAAATAGTCAGTCCTATTACTGTGGCCACGAGGATACCAACAGCAGTGCTGGTCACTCTCAGAGCGGTCTGATGCCACTTTGGACACTCAGGATAATCTGTAAGGATTAAGTTTGCGTTCTGAAACTTTGAAATATTGAAAATAGACTTACAATATGTTATAGAAAAGGAAAATTCTGAGTGCATATACTTTTTTTCCCCACTGTCTTAAATTGAAAGGAAGGAACCCACAATCTGTTTAAATTACCTTGAGATGTGTGCATGTTATAGTACTTTTAAAAGATTGGTTTTATTGATTCTGAATAAAAGAATAATAAATAATAATAATAATAAATAAATATGCTTCATTTGGAGTCCCAGTGTGGTGCTGTATGATAAGCACTCAACTGCAAAGTTGCAGTTATGTTCCCCAAGCCCAAACTCGAGGTCTGCAATTCAAACTCACCAATTGCTCCTCAGAAACCCTATGCTCATAGGGTCACTATGAGTCAGAACCAATTCAATGTTTCTGACAATTTAACAGCTTAACAACAACAATGCTTCATTATATTATTTATTGAATAATCCTTACTATGCTAATACTTCTTTTCAAAATCTAAAATTTATATAGCAAGTGAATGGGAAGCATTAGTTGATCAAACATATTGTTGTTGTTGTTGTTGTTAAGTGCCGTCGAGTCGGTTCCAACCCATAGCGACCCTGTACAGGGTTTCCGAGGGTGTAAATCTTTATGGGAGTAGAAAGCCTCATCTTTCTCTCGCAGAGCGGCTGGTAGTTTCCAACATATTAGTTAATACCTTTTTACTAAAGTGTATCTATCACATACATTTACATATTAACTGTATTCAATGACCAATGGAATTCAAGCCTACCTCACCAAACCCACTATAACAACCCTATAGGACAAAATAGAACTGCTCCACAGAGTTTCCAAGGCAGTAAATCTTTAAAGAAGCAGACTATCTAGGAAGGGAAAACATAACTGGTACCAAAACCAGTGAATAAAAGAAAAATTATTTGTCTAAATTAGATAGATAAGCAAGATTGACTGTTGTAGCCACCTTCAAATGCTACTTGAAATCAAAGTTGTATATTTATACAAAGTCAAGAAACCACACACAGAGGCTAATCTTATGTATGTTACTTTCATAAAAAGCATTATAATATTTTTTGCCATCTTCAAATGGAATAAAGGCATATTTTCTCCATTGCATTTAATTTAACAAAATTTATAAACATATTTACTATGTACCAGGCGCTAGATTGGCTTACAGAAATAAGTGTACAGCATCTATGTACATTATTTCAAAAAAGATAAATTTTCTGATTAACAGACATGATTTCAAGTGTCATTACTTAAAAGTTGCTGCCGAAGATCTAGAATCAAAAGTCTCCACAAAACGTTCAGATATTTACTCTGTAGTCTAACTGGGGGAAGAGAGTTTTAGGTAGTCCTACCTTTGCATGCCCATCTATGCTGGCAGAGATAGGGATGTTTCCTTGGTTTCGGCATCACCAATCCCTCTGTATTTTGCATCTGTCCAACAATCCCATAAATAGAATAAGCCATCATTGAATGAGATGGAAAAACTGATAGCACATGGCAAAAAGTAGTTACGTCTGTCTACAAATTGTGGTGTGAATCAAAGCCTATAGCTATAAAACCACAAAGGATATGGTTTAAGAAGTGATGAGAACTTAGTTGTTGGGGATTTTCTTAAGTAAAATTTTCATTTTAGAATAGTTTTAGATTTACAGAAATCTTATGAAAACAGTAGAATGCCCATACACCCCACACTAGTTTATTTTACTAACTTTACATTGTTGTTGTTGTGAGGTGCCATCGAGTTGGAACCAACTCATAGC